TTGGAGGATTTACACATCTTTTGTTAGGGCTTCTCCACGCCACAGAAACCATTGCTGCCACTCTTAATTCTTAGAGAGAACTAATCAGAAATATATGGAAAATACAAAGGTGTTATAATAAATTACTCCAAGCCTGAAAGCACTACACATTAAATATTAGTTTACATAAAATGGGCCAGATTTAGACTCCAGGAGTTTGGATCATTCCAGGGTCCTCGGGATGAAAAAAAAACCCCATGATTAGAGGAAAATCCTGCTGAATGTGTGTCTCTGCCTTGATCTGCTTTACACAAGCAGGTATAGCACTGTCACTTCCTGATGTCCTCAGAGCACTAAGAGGCCGTTACCACAGAGCTTGCTTCCCAAGATATGCAATGGTGCTGCTCATTGCAAATCTCAACACTCCACATTCAGAACAGTTTCTGGTGGTCTGGACTAAGGGAACAATGAGAAAGGACACCATGTCAAAGAAAGAGCCTCCACCAGGTGATATTTGGGCAGAGCACAGACTGCAGTACAATACTTCTGCATATAACTGGAAAGACTGTTTCTGCTTAGGAGACTGACAACTGGCATTTCGTACTTCTGACACAATTTCCCACCTCTACCCAGGTAAGATTCACTTCAAACGCTGAGGCCTTAGAAACTCCCTGCAGAGGATTTCTAAACAGCTGCAACAAACATAACAGCACCATCCCGCAATGAAAACAAATCAAGCAATGCTTATGGAACTCCATCACCACTGACCATGCTGCCAGCTGCCGCTCCCTCCCCTCTGCCACCCCAAAAGCTGAGACACAGGGTTAACCCCTATGCCTGAGACAACTCTTGCACAAGAAGTTAAATGTCAAATCCCAAAGCAAGGCACAACCTGAATTCAGGCTTCCACATTATCTGTAAGCCAGAACACCACCAGATCCCTTCTCACGCTCTCAGTGTTATGGCATCCACTTCCCCAGACTACATTTGGCTCTCATTAAACAGCAAATTACAGCAACACTTGTACCAATTACTTCTCACTTGTACAAGTGTGTAATTCTCTTACGCAATGACACAATTATCCAGCAGACAGAATAAATATCCTCCACAAGATAAATACAAAGAAGGAATGTAAAGTATAGAGAAAGACTTAGTATTTGTTTTCCTCGCTTGGCTGATAACGAATTATCAGGGTACATATAAAAGAACAGAAAAGTGGGAGAGAAATATTTTTGCATCAGCCACCATGGAAAGCAAGAAGCATCTCACCAAAGCTCCTGACACTGACCACCCTCTTCAGGCACATTGATTGCATCATTCAGACATTCAACATTCACAAACGGCAAAGTGCTTCCAAAATCTCGAATTCTGACAGCTCTTAAGATTCTATTTCTTTATGCCCCTGCGAACACCACACTGTCTGCATACGCTCCCAGGAGAAGTCTCCTCCAGCAATTCAAATATCATATATTTCTGACCTGTACTACAGAGATACAGAGTTAGACAGTGGCCTGCGAGCCGGTCCTCTGCACCCATGGGGAGTGCTTGAATCCTGCACCCTCCGTGCCGGCAGAGGACAGGAGAGGGGCCTCAGCCTGGCGGTGATAGGATCGCCCCAGGAGGGGGCTTCACCAACCTGACCTGCAGGTTAGATCAGGGGTTTTCCGGGACAGGGGCAGGGTGGTGACCACAACATCCCCCCATACCCAGCCTCACCTCTCACATTTAACCCCACTGGCAGCTCTTACAGCTGCTCTGTGCTCTGTGAACCATGGCCACAACCAGATGCCCAAGACCTGGGCTGACAGGTTGTCTGTCTGCACAAAGACATTTCCAATTTGCAGCACACTAATTTCATGTCCAGCTCATAGCCAGCTTTCCCTTTTGCCTCTGAAGAGGCTGTGCTTGTATCATAATTAATTCCAGGCCATGAGCAGACATCTGAAACTCCTGTACATTATCTTAGGGAAGCCTAATGCTCAATTTCTTTAAAAGACAGGGGAGCAAGTGAGTCACTTTACATACCTTGGCAGTCACATACAAGGCAACGGGTATGGCCAGGAGGAAATAACATCACAAACTGGCAAGGAATGGCTACATCTACCCATTCAACAAGACTGGGTCCATGCTAAAATGTACTGCTTTGAAGATGGAACAGCAAGCATTCACCTCAAGTATTATTTGTGTACTAACACAGGGACACCAAAGTTGGAAGCCCATCAAAACACAACAAAAACCTTCCAAATGCCAAAAAAAAAAAAGACCTCCTTAGCATTACTCTAACAAAAGCAGAGGTGGCCTAACTCCCTCTGCTCCTCTTCTGGATAATTCTCTGCAGCACACAGCAAGCTTTGTGCCACGCTGGAAGGCTGGTGAGCATCAGCAGTGGAAGGAGTGGCTGTGGGCAGCAAAGATGACACCGCAGGGGGACCCCTGGGGACACGGCGCAGCAAGGATGCGGTGCCAACGTACTGTGAGAGGTCCAACAGCTCCTCCAGAGCACACGGTGCTGGATGGATGGATGTCCTTCCCTGCAGCACTCACTAGCAGGCACAGATGACAGTTTCTTTGGGAGGAGAACAGCATCCCTAGAGAAACAGGGATGCCAAGGGGCGCAGTGCCCACTACCACCCTCTGGCCTGGCAAGCGGCCTCCAGCCCTGGGTACGCGGGCAGGGTGAGGCCGGCACGGCACAGCAGTCCGACCCACCCCGGAATGCAGGTCCCTCAGTGCCCGCGGCGGGGCTCAGGGACGCAGGTACCGGCAGGGCAGGACCCCCGGGCTAACCCTGGTGCAGGCAGCCCAAGGTCGCCGGGCTGGGCGGCTGCCCCACAGCCAGCGGTGGGGACCCCATGCGTCTCCCCGAGGTAACCGCGGCTCCCCTCGGCGCGGCCGCCAAACCACGACCCTCACGGGAGGCCGCCGCCGCCCGCGCCGAGCCCCAGACCCGCGGGAAGCGCCGGGCCGGTGTCCCCGCGCCCAGCCCGGCGCCCCTTGACTAGCCCCAGCGCGGTCCTACCCTCCCCGCTCCGGCCAGGGGCTCCCGCCTGCCAGCCCATGCGTTCCCGGCCCGCTGGAGGCCGGCGGCAGCAGCGCCCGTGGCCCGCTCTCACCTGCCGCGCCACCTCTGCCGCCGCCATCGCTACGAGCCCGCCACAGGGCCCGCCCCAGCCGAGCGGGCGGGCAGGCAGCTCCGGGCGCGCCCACCGCGATGCCACGCAGGGGAGGGGGGGAGAGGAGGAAAGCCGATCCGGCCCCGCCCAGCCGCGCGCCCCTCGCCCCCCGCCACCGACACCTCTCCCCGCCCTGCCGACACCCCACCCAGATCGGTCCCGCCGCCGCCGCCCGGCTCCGGGAGGCACAGGGCTGCCGGTCCCCCCCGCGAGCGCCCGTGATGGTGCAGCCCTGCCTGCGGGCGGGGCCGCGGCCACTGTGTGGTTGGGAGCGGCGGGCGGAGGGGGGCGAGGCAGGCGGCCGAGGCGGGTGGGGGGAGCCTTGGGCCGGCTCCGCGGCCCCAGAGGCACGGCCAGGCCCGCGGGGACCCTGCCTGCAGCCCGCTTGGCGGAGCTTCCCCCGCACTGACTCCTCAGGGCCCGGGGGGACCCGCCTGACTGCCCTGTGGCTCCTCTCTTAACGTGGGCCGCGGCGTCCCACGGCTGTGCACGTCCGGAGCCCACAGAAGCCACCAACAGCCAGTGACAAAACCAGGCGTTCCAGAAAGGGAGCAAGGGGACAATTAGGTTTTCACAACCAGTCATTTGGGCTTTATGGGATGATACCAGATCCCCACACATCCCAGAAAACCTGGTCCAAGTGGTTGGAGAAAGGCAAAGCCACTTAGGGGCTGAAAGCCAGCCTGGGGCAGGTTGGAACAAGGATAAAACTTAGGGAACGAAAGGCAAAAGGGTTGAAGGGGCTGGTGTGGTTCTGCCTGACCAGCCCTAAGACCATGTGGTGACAGTTCAGCCACGCTGTGGGAGTCTGAAGAGTCAAGGATAAGAAAAGTCTTGGGAGAGACAGGACTGGAGGCTTCCAAGGCAGAGGAATTTGTCCTGATTCCTAATAAAGCTGGGGTACAAACTGCTGGTGGCTGCAGCCACCAACACCACCGGGCATGGGGCCTTGCTGGGAAGTGAAACACAGCAAGAGAAGAAGGCCAGAATGCTGCTGGGCTGAAACATTGAGTGGCAAGGGGCCCAAATCACCATGCTGGGCTGGGTCTCCCTTACAGCACGGAGACCCACCCACCACTAGCCCTTTGGAGCAGCAACCTTGTCCTTCCTGAGCACAGCAATAAGGAGAAGCATTGCAATGGTGGGGGGCTGTACTGCAGGTGCCCTCAGCAAGGCACCTGGGACTTTGAGATACTGCTGGGGCCAAAGGAGGTGTCCCCAGGACCAGTGTTACAGCTTTACACATACCAGTCACTGCAAAAGAGAATGACAAGTCCAAGTGACGGTTTCCTATTAGTCTTTTAATAGTTCTTCAGTCACAGCCGGAGCTGGGTGCCTCCAGAGGGGGATCCCCATCCCAATTCATGCCTCCCAATTATACCTGTTCCACAAATCACCCCATCCCCAAGTCCAATCACTTAATTCTGGTGGCTGGTCTTTTGATTTCCCACTGGGTTTCACAGTCACTGGGCTGGCTTTCATCTCTTTGGTCCTTCTTCATTCTGCTTGTTTCTGCTGAATTCAGTGAGTTCTGTTAGCAGCATTAGTTTTACCAAGCTTAACTGCTGTCAGCTCTTGCAGCCGAAGGCTTCGGCTACTTTAGCTGCTAACGCTAAGCCACGAATGCCAAACAGAAGTATGTAGAGAGAAGAACGCAGTTAATCAAATTTCCTCCGCAACAGCAGCATTGAGCTGCCCAAACCCGCTGGTCCCGCCCACCCTCCTGCTCTCCCTCTGTGTCACCTCAGGTGAGGAGCCCAGGGGGACAGCCAGCCCATGGCTGTGGCCGTGCCCGGCGCCGGCGGCAGCCACGGGTGCAGCGTGAGCAAAGGTCACTGCGCCGCCCCGGCAGCGCAGCAGCGCCGCAGCCGTGCCCTCCCGCCCTGTGGAGTTGGTTCCTCCTTTGCCTACCGCCGGGGCAGGAAGTGTGGGGTGCGAGCTGCGAGCTGAGCCCGGCCGGGGAGCGGGCTGCCGGCCGGCTACGCGGGAAGCACCGACATGGCCCGGCGGGAGCAGGGCTCGGCTGAGCCAAGGGCAGCTGGCATTGCCCAGGCATCCACCTTCCGGGAAGGCACGCGGGCCAAAGCGGGGAGCCTGGCCCGCATCTCCCATCTCTGGCCAGCCACCACAGGGAGCAGGGAGCGTTTCCATTCGCTGCAGAGGATGGACACCAACAGGAGCATCAGCCAGAGCAGCCAAGGCCTGGGGAGCTGGGGCAGGACTGCAGGCCGGCTCTCTGTTGGCTCCGGCAGTACCCGGAGGAAGGAGCTGAAGGAAATTCTCCTGCAGAGCAACAGCCCCAGCAGCACCATGCGGTTTGCCACCGCTCAGAAGACATCCGATGTCAGCAGTGTCCTTGCAGGGACACACCAAGAGCAGAAGGCCGAGCAGAGCCCCGAAGTACTGTCCCTTGCCCTGGATCCCCTGGAGCATGAATGGCTGCTGACAGTGGCCCAGGGTGATGCAGACAACATCATCAGGCTGCTGGACCTAGATCCCAGTCTGCTGAACAGGAAAGACTTTGTGACAGGCTTCACCGCTCTCCACTGGCTTGCCAAGCATGGCCACTATGAGAGCTTCATCCAAGTCATCTCCCATGCCCAGAAGAAGGGCTATCCCATCAATGTGAACATCCCTACGGCCAGCGGTGGCTTCACCCCCTTGCACATGGCTGCCCTGCAAGGACACGAGCTGCTCATCAAAGTGCTGGTGGGAGCTTATGGGGCAGACACCAGCCACAGGGACCACAACGGACGCAAGGCTTGGCAGTACCTGAGTGCAGACACCTCCCAGGAGCTGAAGGAGCTGGCAGGGGCCTTGGAGGAGGACTTGGTTCGGCTGTGCTCTCACAACACCAACAACAACTGTAAGTCATCCAGCGAGGCCAGGGCAGGGCAGGACTGTGTGGACTCTAGGGCTGAGGGGAAAGCCCAGCGCTCCTGGAGCATGTCAACCCTCCGGGTCTTTGTTCGACAGGCATTTACTTTCTTCCAAGAGCGCTAAAGCTCCCCTGGCCCTGTTCTCCTGCAAACCTGCGCTGAATAGTAGCTGGAAGAGCCTGTGAGGGGCTGGGAACTGGGCGAGGGTTGGCACTTGAAATCCCAGCCAAGCAGGGATTGACCTCCTGCATGGGGGCACTTTGGCCACCTGGGTTTCACGTGGTCTTTCGGGGCTTGTGCAGGTATTTGTGTGTGTGTGGCAACCATGGCCATGGGGAGCACTGCCTGTGTCCAAAGGGGATTTTTCCCCCACCCCTGCTGATGGGGATTCCTTGCCACAGTCCAGCAGAGCCCCACAGTGGGGGCTCACATGCTGGCATTGCTGTGGGGAGCTGCTTCTATGACACCCCGCATGCCTGTGTGGGGATGCTGACCCTCCATGGATGGTTGGGTGCCTGTCCCAGGCTGCCGGCAGACTTTGTGTGTGACTGCAGGAAGGTCATGCAGCGACTTGGTGTCTTTATTGTCCCACCTATAACATGAGGCTGTGCCATGGTTTAAGCCCAGCCAGTAACTCATAACCACACAGCACTCCCCCGGCTCCCAGCAATGCTGTAAAGTTGGACTTGTCATGGCACCTCAGGTGCCTGGACGGAGACACTGGCAGAATATAATCACATATTTCACAAGAACACTCTTGTGATGCCAGAGGCCTGGCACTGGACTAACCATGGAGAAGCAACTATGGCTTCAGAAACAACCCCCCAAACACTTTTTTTATGTATGGTTTTCTGCTGTCAGGGAGAGTGGGTACAGACAAGCAGGCTGTGCCTCCAGCCACACTTTCCAGTTCCCTGTGAGGTTTCCAGACCTCTTCTACTTGTACCTCCTCTGGGTTGCTGTTTGTCTTTGACAGCTAAAGCTGTTTCTCAATAAAGTAAGAACTAGAGTGCCCAGTAAAACAGAAGGTTTTCAAAGTGCAAGACAAGTCCCCCCTGGCAGCCCCTCCCTGGGACCCCCATCCAGGGGGGCCTGAGATGCTCAGCCCCCCTGGAGATGGGAGGAGGAGTGGAGGAGGCAGGAGGGACACCCAGTAGGGTAGCATGTGGTGGCTCCCACAGGGACTGGAATTGATGAGCAGCTCTGGAACGATGACTCATTGCTCAAAACCATGGAAAATGTACAAAGGCTGAGAGATTATCTTTGTTGCTACTGAGGTCATGCTCAAAAATGAAACTCTTGAGAAATGTCCCTATAGCAGTATAACCCTGTGTGTATGTACTGGTAAGTTCATTAAACAGGCAAAACCTCTGCTCACTTGTTTGTGTTTGTTTCACCAAATGGAGCTCTTCCCAGCTGATTTCAGCTTCCTTTTCACATTCTCAAAAGCCAGGGCTGCTTCAAAATATCTTCAGAAAACAACTTCCCCTTTTTCATCAGCATGAGACCATTTCTACCCCCTTAAATAGCAATCCCATTTGAGAAGTGACTCTCAGACAGCACATGAGGAGTTTCTGTTCCCCATTACAGTACAGAAGCTCTTGCAGAGACATCACTCCATTTATATTCAGATTGTGAAATGCTGCTCAGACACTGGAATAACCCAGTCTGCAGTGGACAATACATGGAAGAACATCCTCCAGATAAGCAGACAGTAATCTGGTGACTGGATAGTGACAGGTGACAGTCACCCAGGTGACAAAGTAGACACATAGATGTATATGGACATCTTAATCACCAAGGTCAGCAGTAGAGACATACAAAACACACAGGGAATGGATTTAATGCCTGATCTACACTGGGTTTGTAATGCTTTAAGAGATTAAGGACTATAACAACATACCTCCTTCCAGAATCTCTGGTCACATCCATACCACAGGACAACAGGCTAGCTTCCAACAAGCCTGGCCACAGCAGCACAAACTCCATGAAACGCACTGATGTCAGAACACCACCAATCTTTAGTTCTGATAGCCACAGCACTGTTGGTAAGACAGGTGGGTGCATGTCTGTTGAAGTATTTTTTGACCCATTAGTCCTCTCTCACCCTTTCACAGCAGCATGCTGTTGAGCAGAGGGTGCAGGACCACTCTTGACATTCTTCTCTGAGTCAGGCAGAGTAACCAGTGGAATTAGTGAGAATTTCCTTGAAGGAGCGGTTTCCTTGGCATTTGAAACTGCAGCTTAGTCATGCTGCACCCGGAAACCTGGACTTCCATTGGAAAGTAAAATTTAACTGGCAAATGCCACACTTAAGTAAGTAACAATTTTTAGTACTCACCTCCCCTTGACAGCTATCCAAATCACCTACAGGCAGCTTCCCAACCATCTTTTGGCCATGGGTTTGAAGCTGTATTCTGCTCTGAGGCAAATTAGGCAGGCACTTCAGAAGGAGCAAGACCAGAGCCTCTTGTTACAACATACTCATCAATGCCACCCCTGCTTTGCCTGCACTGCAAGGGAACCTCTCCTCAGAGCAAATACCAGTACCCTTTCTGCTGCTGTGCATCGTGTTTGCCCCAAACACCACCCCTCATTCACATGGTTTCCTTTCAGACCTACAGAGGGGAAGTCGGTTTGCAAATACAGACATTTAAAAAATACTCAGGTATATAATCTTTGTACACTTTGCGTCTCACTCAAATGAAAGCCTATCCACAAAAATGGAGTAGAATATCGTAGTTGGGTTTTTTTATTTCTTTAAAGCTTCTGTTGATGTCTTAGTTACTGTGCATTAGCCCAGTTCTGCAGAGATACCTGACCACCCTCACAACTTGCAGGGAAGGAGAGGGTCAAAAAGAGCTGCCACAGGGCAGCAGAAATCATTCACATCCAGAGGTATTTGTGTTGGTTAAGGTTCTGAAGAAAACTGAGTTTAACCAACTTTAATTTGTAGTAAATTTACTTCATGCTATCCCTTCACATCCAATTTGAAAAGCAGTCAAATGGAGAAAAATATTATGAGGGGTTATTTTCCAAAACAGCTCCTTGGTAGAAGCTGCTTCCACCTAATAAAAATAGCACAGTATTGTGAAACTATCTAACAAACAGTAATAAATGGTTAAATCTATTACTTAGGAAAGGCTTCCCACAAATGCCATGGAGCAAACTTTTTCCATTCTCAAAGAAATTACTTTTCTCTCCCTCAGCTAGGTCCTCACAGACACAAATTAAGAGAAACTCTGTGAGCAGCTCTACCTGCCAGCAGTGGTGACGGGGAAAGGCAGAGGGCTGTTCACAAGGCTCCAAGGCTGATCTTTGACCCTCAGCAGTGCTATTATTTCCTAAACACTTGTTTCAGAGAGAAGAGCACAGAAGAGATTTAAAAAAACATGGGGTAAAAGTGTTTGCAGCACTTGGGCCTCTGTTGAAACATCTCTGGCAATGCTGTTTGCTGCTTTCCTGTTGCACTGACTTACTGCTTCCCCCCGATAATGAGGTAGAAACTAGACTCTTAACCAGACAGGAAAGGGACTAGAAGTTACCTCTGAAGTATCCTGAAAATGGTAAAAATCCAGCCTTGCTCTGCTGTGCTCACAGAAACTTCCAGCACACCTTCCTTACGAAGAAGACTGTCCATCTATTTGTTATGCATTTATGCGTGCTCAGCATATGCTGCTGCCTAGCATCATTTGCTGTAAAACAGAACGTGAAGGAGATGTATCTATTTACCTTCACATGAAAAGCAGCAACACAGAACATATTGCAGCCTAAGGCTTCCTCAGGAAGCTGCCACCCAGGAACTGAGCTACCGCAGCAGTCTGAACCCAGAAAACAGGACCTCAGCATCAGGATGGGCTCTGCAGCAGCCACATTCAAGAACACGTTTGCACCTTCAGTTACTTCAGTTATTTCCTGCTGACCAGAGCACCTATGTCAGGTCTGCACTGCAGAAGGGAAAGGAGCAGCAGGCACACACAACTCGGTGCTAAGCCACAGCTTCCTTCTCCACTTCCCTGCAGTATAGGTGACATTGCACATGGCCCAGCTGGGGAGCTGGAGGAATGACTTCTCTGGGCAGTTTAACTCCTTCCTTTGTCCCTTTTTTTAAACAGGTACTAACTCTTCTTTTACAGCAGCATCTTCTGTTACTAATGCTCCTGCTGAGAACATTAAACACCTTTGTCTGGCATCAAGACCAACCTGATCAAGTCAACACAAAGCTCCAGACACAACTCAGGTGGTCATTCTAGGGAACATGCAGCCATTATGTACTACAGGTTGTAAGATTGTGGCATTTTGTAGGAGCTAAATCTATCCACTGACTGTGCCCTATTCATCCCCCCTCCTTTCCCATTTCTTTAGTGGAACCTTCTTTCACCTGATTATTCCACTGCACTCACTCTCCAGCCAGCATCTTAACCCCAGACTCCATGGGCTGGCCTGCACCCCATCCTACCTGAGAGCCAGCGCTCCAGGAGTGGGGCCAGGCCTCCCCCGGGGATGGAGCTGCCGGGGTATGAAGCTGCCCGAGCACAGGCTCATGAGGACACGCAGTGCTCAGGGCAGCTTTGCCCATATGCTGCTTTGTGAGTACCACTGATCATCTCAGCCCCATGCTCTCACTCCATGGGCAAGTGTTCTTACAGCACCTGCGGGCACATAACGTTTTAGCATTTGCCAAGTACCATGGTACCCTTTCCCACGTTAACTCCTTTAAAAATCAGTTCTGATTTTTACTCTTTCCTTTAAAGAAATGGCATGCTTTGCTCCAAGAGGTTTACAGTAAGTGGAAAGGAAGACACGGCCTGCTCTATCTGATAAGGTTTCTCACACTGAGATTATACTCACAGTAACATTAGTTTTTATTCTGTTACTATCCCACCATATATATATAGATGAAGTAATTTCAACCAAGTCATCCAGGTCTGTATTTATTAGTAAACCTGTACACTGTCAATACTCATGATGATGCCTGAAAGAAAGAACACTAATAGAACACAGTCTTCATGTTTCAGATGCAAATTACTTCCAAGATTTTCCCAGTTAACATAAATATCCCAGACTAGCTTACAAAAAAAACCAACAAAACACACGTTTGGGGGTGCAGTCCAACACTACAGAGGGAATCACTTGGGGGTGCCAAACAGCCACAGGTGTATCAGTCTGACGCAGAAAGACAAGTGTTATTAGAGTTCCCAGGAGACAGTCCCTCTTACAATCCCAGTTTGGTCCTTCTCCAGTGCCTCCTTTTGGAGTTGTACCTAAGACAAAAGCAGTGTACATTAGCAAAGGGCACACACATTTGAGGATCCAGGTGGAGTAAAACCACCTTGAATTAGCTGAATGGTAAGGAACTGAAATCTTTCTTATGTGCTGGAGTGGGAAGCTGCCAACAATCAGCTGTGAACTAAGCTTAGAATTTCCACCTAATCACTAAGCAGCACATTACTGCAACAGAATCTAGACATCAAGGAGGTAAAGATGCCTGCAGAGATGCAGCACTG